CCTCAACCCATCTCAGTCCATTGAGATGAGGTCACCAGGGAGGTGACTACTACAGCGGGCGTTAAGTGTATCAGAGATGATGAGGATGGCACAGGACTCAGGCCTGTTGTTCGCAGGGTCACTATGAGTCCTACTTGACAGCACCTGACAACAACTCCTTTCACCTCAGCCATGGAGCCGATGAATGGGTGTTGTGTCCCCTCACCAGTCCCCTGAGCCGCCTCCTGGGTATGAGGCTCTTTGCCTGTGGCCTTGAGCAGCAGATAACATTTTCCTCTCACCCCTGCCCCCGACTCAGAGCTTCCTGAGAGGGTTTTGGGAGATGGGGTGAGGGCAGAGGAACAGGGATGAGGTGGCATGCAGCTGACTTGTTCTGGTACGTCCTGCCCTCCCCCTTATCTTAGAGGTGTGAGTGTGTGGCTGAAGGAGGACCCCATTAGGGAGCCAATGTGGTCAGCACCTCCTCTCACTGGGGGAGGAGGAGGCCGGAGGAAACAGGTCTGTGGCCAAGAGCTGCATGGAGCTGTGTAGGCTTTGCTCCGTCACTGCAGCTGAGAGGCTAGCTGTCTCCCTGCTCCGGTCCCCGAGAGTAGTGCCTACTGGGAGTCCCCATGAGGTCCCGCCATGAGGACCAAACCCCTGCTGAGGAGGGAGGACAGGCAAGATGCTGATTGTTAATTCTGGGGTCCCAGCCCCACACTGGGACATATTTGGCGCCACCAGGAGCCCCTGCTCCCTGTTCTACCTGCAGGGCAGTGCCGTGCTGCGGGCCCGAGCTCCACCCCTCCCCCATTCCTCTCCCCACCCCAGCTCCTCCCTGTGGCTCAGAGTTTCTAGAATTTATAGAGGGTGTTGTCATGCTCTGGACCTGGCACCTCCCTGGTGACCTCAGTTGTGTGTGTGTGTCACTGGAGATGCAGGCAGTGTTAAGTGTCACATGTGTGAACAAATTTGAGTCTTCTGTTTCCCTCTTGCCCTCTCCCTTGACTCTGGGGGGCAGAAAGGGTAGATTCAGCTGTCCCTGAGGTGCGGGACTTCTGAATCAGGATGCAGAGGAGGGAGAGGGGAATGTTAAGAGGGCTTTGAGAGCAGAGAAGAGCACAGGGCCCCAGACCTGCTTTGAATGGGATCTCACTATGTGCCTGCCTCAACTTGGCGGTCCCTATCCTGAGTCCAAAATGAGTGCAGGAGAAAGAAAACTGGGAGAAGTGGGTCAAGTGAAAGCAGAGGCAGGAGGATTACTGTGATAGAAGAATGAGAAACAAGGGGCCTGGGATCCAGGCTGGGAGACTGGAGATCCGAGCCTGGACCGAGAAGGGGGCAGCCAGGCAGAATGTTCAGGCTGGTGAATGGGACAGTCAGGGCGCTGGGCTGGGGAGACGTGCCACTGAGGAGGGCGGTGAAGACAAGATGGCTCGAGGTAAGAGCCACAACGTCTCCTTCAGGACATCACTGTGAACAGTCGAGGTCTGAACACTCATCCATGCGAAGCGGTGAACGGCAGGGAGGCCTTACCCTGCAAGCGTAGGGAGCTGGTTTTATTTCCATTCTCTGGATTTTTGGAAAGTACCTAGGAGCATGCAGGTGTGGGTAGGTGCACATGGGGACAAGGTGAGGTGGGTGCATAGATGGCATGAGTGTATGTGGGTACAGATGGTTTCATGGGTGCCTAGTGCTGTGATAATACAAATGCCATTAATGGATAACAAACACATTTATTCTCTCAGTTTGTTGCTGCTGTTGTTTGGTGCCATTGAGTTGAGTATGACTCATAGTGACCCTCTGAACAGCAGATCTGAACCCTGACCTGTTCTGTGCCATCCTCAACCCAACATACTTGAGTCTTTTGCTACAGTCATTGGGTCAAGCCATCTGCTTAAGAGTCCTCCTTTCTTTGGCCATCCCTCAACCTTTCCAAGCACGATGTCCCTCTCCAAAAAATAGCCTCTCCTAGCACCATGCCCAAAGTATGTAAAATGAAGCTTTGTCATCTTTGCCTCTGGCTGCACCTTTTCCAGGACATATCTATTTGTTCTTTTAGCAGTCTGTGAGATATTCTGTGCTCATCTCCAACACAGCTCAAAGGCATCAGTTCTTCTGTCATCCTAATTTGTTATCCAGCTTTCAGACGCATTAGCAAGAGATTGAAAAGACCATGATCTGAATCAGGCACATCTTAATCCTTGAGATGACATCATTGCTCCTCAATAATTTAGAATTCTCTGACGGCAGACTTTCCCAGTGCAATATGTCTCTTGAGCTCCTGACTGCTGCTACCAAGGATGTTGATTGTAGATCCAAGTATTTTACACTGTGTAGTATTCCCTTGTTCCATTCACACAAAAGCCTCTTGGTCTAGGTATAAGTTTCACATGAGCACAATTAAGTTAAAACTTCACAGTTTGGGAAGCTAGATATCAGGACACCAGCTCTAGGGGAGGCATTCTCTCTCTCTTTGTCCCTCTGTCTTACTTCTAAGGGAGACAGAAATCCTTTCAGCATCTGTGCGCCCAGCGGTCCTTGGAGATCTTTGTATGTGCTTTAATCCTCCTGAGTCTAGGAAGTTCTCAGTACAGGGATCCCAGGTTTCCCGGCTTCTCACCCCTTCTATCTCCTATAAGATAAAAGGTGCTTCAGGCAACAACCCAAGCAAACTAGTCATAAACAACTAATTGACTGATCACATCATGGGAATGGATGATTACCTGTGACACTACTGAGAATTATGGCACAAGAAAACTAACACATATTACAGGGGGACATAAGTCAACCCATGGCAGGTGGAGTGTATGTATGAGGATGCATAAGCAAGGTAGACATATGCCAGCACACGTGTCAGTACATGTGGACTCACAAACAAGTGAATGTATGCAAGTGGGGAGGGTGTTTGAGGGTACACAGGTGAGGTGGGTGTATGAGGGACACAGGTGAGGTGGGTGTATGAAGGGCACAGGTGGGGTGGGTGTATGAGGGTACACAGGTGAGGTGGGTGTTTGAGGGTACACAGGTGAGGTGGGTGTTTGAGGGTACACAGGTGAGGTGGGTGTATGAGGATACACAGGTGAGGTGGGTATATGAGGGACACAGGTGAGGTGGGTGTATGAGGATACACAGGTGAGGTGGGTGTATGAGGGACACAGGTGAGGTGGGTGTATGAAGGGCACAGGTGGGGTGGGTGTATGAGGATACACAGGTGGGGTGGGTGTATGAGGATACACAGGTGAGGCGGGTGTATGAGGATACACAGGTGAGGCGGGTGTATGAGAGTACACAGGTGGGGTGGCTGTATGAGGGACACAGGTGAGGTGGGTGTATGAGGGACACAGGTGGGGTGGGTGTATGAAGGACATAGGTGGGGTGGGTGTATGAGGATACACAGGTGGGGTGGGTGTATGAGGGTACACAGGT